CCGTATTAACCTTCAACTTTATATATTAGTTGATTTGTAAAATAACCACACAAACTCATGATTCAAGGTCAAACTAATGATTCTGAATTGTGATTTACCCGCGCTGCATCGCGCGGGTACACCACTAGTATATATATATATATATATAGACATGATCCAAGCATAAATTGGAGTTTATGAGGTAATGTTAGAAGACGTGAGAATCCAAAACAATTGAAGGTGTGTTTCAGTCTCGTTGCAGATGGATACGAAACATGTACGAGAAAAAATGATGGCATAAGGTTACTCGCAAGGTATGGGAAATGAACAATCGACGATGGTAAAATGTGTCCTTTAAATTATGCGATTTCTAGATGCAAAATGAGATGTCATCAACTATTGGAATTGTCATGTCATATGGTATTTAGACTAATTAACACCATATGCCTTTTAAGAGATATGTCATGAAGAAATAATATGCTGGTTGAGTCTAAGATGATGATGATTCATGTGTAAATTGATTCTTCTGTTTCTTGTTAGCCATTTTGTCTGGCATGTTTTGAATTTTACGTGTTGGGATGAGTTGAAAATTTAGAGAAATTTCAAGTAAACACAGTTTTAAAGGTAGTTGTTTGGATTGAATAGGACATGACAAGAGGATAGTACGGACAAGATAAGTTGTTTGTTTAATATTTGGTACGATTAGGCCCGAACAACTTTTCCCTTAAAGTGGTTATGGTTGATGTGGAGGTGGCCGACAGTGGTAGTGGTGGTGATGATGGGGGTGGTTATCGATGGATAACGATGGTTGTAAAGGTGGTGGAGGAGATTGTTATAGTGAAGAAAGAGGTGGGTGGCTGATGGTAGTCGGAGGTGGTCGTTGGTGGCGGTGACGATGAACGGTGATGATCATTAAAACAACTACAATATCATTTTTATATAAAACAAAAACACATTCATATTTTTTTTGTTTTCGTCTCGTCTTTGTGAGTTTTGTTTCACCTATTTTGATGGGAAAAAAAACCCTTTTTGTCTCGTCTCATCATCGTGGCAATTGTGAAACGTTGAATTTTGTCGTGTAATCATCGATGATTTCCGTTGATTATGAACAATAATGCTCAAGAAGCCACACAGAAAACAATAAACTTCAACTGGTCGAAAAACATGTTATTGATGAGTTGTAGGATACAAATAAATATTGATTTAACGACCTTAAACAAAATACACGAATAATAGCATGTCCAAAGAGGGGTTTCTTTTGGCAAAAATATAGCGACAACAATGACGACTTTATTAAAAGAAAGAAGTAGAATATTGTCTCAGCACACAGCAATCAGCCGGTCTCGGTTCACCGCCCAAAAACAATGGAACAAACCGCAACTCTAACCACCAGAGTATAAGAAGAATAATGCTCACTTTAAAGCAGTGACACAATCCATTTTAGTCTGCTCGGGATTGACCAGCTCGAGAAGAAAGAATGATACCGACAATAAGACCATAGAGAGCCAGAGCTTCAGCGAAAATGAGGATAAGAATCATTCCCACGAAAAGTTTGGGTTGTTGTGCATTAGCCCTGGATTCAAACACGATTAGATTAGGATAAATGTACTCCAATGAACCATCTTCTAAATTATACAAACTACGGTGAAAGAAAATAAATATCAACTTCATATGCAACTTGAATGATGCAGTTTGTTGCAAAAACGCATATGGTTCCTACTAAAATTTTGCTTTAAAAGTCCCGGGGTTCAATTATTCAAATGACACAACATATATAGGAAGCAGCTTTCTTAAGCTTTAAAAAACAGCTGTCTTTTGCCTTTCCCCCTTCATAATTTTACAAAAGCTAACCATATTAAAATTTGTCAAGGTTCATCCCTGCACAAGCATACACACACATTAGCACTACATATATATATATATATATATATATATGTGTGTGTGTGTGTGTGTGTATATATACACACTTGGGATTGCATGAGAATAACAATTATGATGAGAATGGTGAGAACACCTCTAAGCCTTTGGATGAGTTGACTTCTTAATCTAAATATCTTCTACCTTCATCAACCTTTATCTTTACTTTTAGTCCCTTTCATTAATTTTCACATACATTTAATCGTTTTCACAAACATGCATTTGTTAAAGTTTCAGTCATGATGGTAAAGAATAGGTAAATAAAGATAGTTGAATGTAAATGAAGGTATATGTACGCATATGAAGATTTTATTCTCATGTTCTAACCATGACTATTATTCGCATACTTGCTTGAGCCTGTCTCTATGACTGTTCTAAAATGTCCTGGGCAGAACTAGACAGTCAATCAAGCTTCGAAGGTTTAATTGGTTAAGGAGGGATTAAGCGCGTCATATTAGGTGGTCTACTTTTAATGTAAAAAAGTACAGAAACATAACCATGTACATAAAGAAACAAAAGAACGGTATATAACTAGTGTCACTCATAAGTAAACAGAATACATTAAAGCTGTCCAACAGGTGAGACTAGTCACTCTAAAAAGGAAGAAAATGTACACCTCAATGCTCATCATCATTATACAAGATTATAGCAAGCAGAGAAAACACATTGCAAGAAAATGCACTTCACAAAAACTGCAGAAGAAATCAAAATAGCAAGCAGAGAAAATACATTGCAAGTTGAAAATAGCAGAAGGTAAGCGTAGGAAATTAGAAATGGTGCCACGTATTGAAAATCACGGTTGCAAAGAAAATGCTTAAGCAATTTGAGAAGAAGGTGATGCAGCCATGCAAGTTAGTTCATAAAGAGCTCCTTGCTTTGCAAGAGCTCCTTTAACCACATGGGTGGTGCCTGATTGGTTTGAGCTTGGCTTCAAAGGTCAAAAAATACTTGAAGGTCCCAGATTCAAATCCAAGGAGGAATAAAAATCCCCTTGTGGCCACGGAGGTTCAAATGCGTTGACTCCAGGCTATTTGCAAAGCAGGTGGTCGCCCTGGGATTAGTCGGCTCGCATAGCGGGTTGGATATCCAGGTCAATAAAAAAAAAGAGCTCCTTTCTTTGTTTTCTAGGATGATTGCTTTATAGGCTATCATTGAGATTATGTATATGATAAAACCAAAGAATGGTAGGGGATCTAAGTGCTATTATCCCTATAAATCTTTCTTGAGTTGAACAAATAATTCAAATACGCCAAAAAGTACTCCCAGTGAACCAAATGCGCATGACCAAAAGAAATCAACTATAATTTGCCATAGCAAGCACTATGCAACACCTATGTTGTGTGATGATTAGCCCATCCTAACCTCTAACCATTTGCAACCGAGACTAAACCCAGCAAGGGCCAATTGGTCAAATTCATATAAAATCTTACAGCACCAATCAATTAGTCATTAAGATTCCACATATAATTCTTAAGAGTTAAGACCTACGAAATTAAGAGCATATGTTAATTCATATAGTAACAGTGCAGAAAAGAAAATACATATCCTACACTTTTGACATCACAAAATATTTACTTCTAATTCTTCATAATGAACCAATTGTAACCAGATCCAATAAAGGAATAAAAAGAGAGAATGTTTTTTACCTTACACCAGCATCGCCCACGATTCCAATGGCCATACCAGCAGAAAGACCAGCAAGGCCACAAGCAAGACCAGAAGAAAGATGAGCGTATCCATCAAAGAGATAATAAGACTTGGCCTTAGGGTTAATCCCAGTACTAATAATCACAGCAATAATCAGGCCGTAAATACCTAACACTCCAGCCATAACCACCGGCACAATCGACTTCATTACCAGTTCAGGCCTCATCACTCCCATTGAAGCAACTCCAACACCACTCTTCGCCGTCCCATAGGCCGCCCCCATACCTACAAAAGAAATCGAAAAACTTCAACGATTGTGGATCATTGTTTTTTCTTCGTATTCAGAAAATTGAAACAATTGACATCTATGCTATCAGATCGGAATCTGCTTAAATTACTACAAATTTAAGGGATCTGGAAGATCGATTTGACTTACAGGAGAAGACTAGGGCGGCAGCAGCGCCAAGGAAGCCGAAAAACGGAGCCGTTTCATCGCCGGAGAAGGTTGAAGACATGATCGGTTGATTTAGGGTTTAGATCTGAAAGAGAAGAAATTGAATGGACGTGAGGATTTATTGTTCAGCTATCCTCCTCTATCCAAACTACACCAGACAACAACTGCTTAATCTATCGCCTTCGTGCAATAAGACGTTTCAATTTTTCCTTTTATTTTAATTTTAATAAATAAAAAAAGTGATTCATATTACGATTTTACCCTCGTCTTTCATCTTGATGGCTTCGCCCCGTACCTTTTCCTTTCCTTTCTCACGGAAAAATAGCATTTTGTAAATTACGATTTTCGTCCCCGTGATCTCTTAAAAATTGTGATTTTAAGTCCCTGTTGTTTAAAAGTTACGGTTTTCATCCCCATATAGTTGTAATTTGTTGTATTTTCATTTTTATGATACTTGCACAATGTAGCGAGATATATCTCGACTTTAAAATGTTTTGTTTTGTTTTTTTGTTTAAATCGATGTTATAATACGGTTTTATGTGGTTTTGAGAAAAAAATAATGGTTTGAGTTTTGAATAAAATATAAATATAAAAATATTATAAAAAATGAAAAAAAAATATTGATATTAATACCAAACTAACTATTTAAAATTTCTCTTTTTTTTGTTTTTGTTTAATAATAAAATTTTTTATAAAATAATAATCAAGTATTTTGTTAAAATCCAATGACTATCCTAATTATATTTTAGATTTTCTGTATTTAAAATGAGATGTTTATCTTTTATTTGATTATGTTTATCTGCAGTTAGTTACACGAATTCAAACATGAAGTTTTAATAACTTGTCATAATGCAAAATTTACTTGTAATTCTGAATTTTAAGCAATATACATCAATAAACAATATTTCATACATAAAAAAGTGGGTTATAAAAGTTATTGTCAAATGTTTTATAATATAGTATAAATTTATAATTTGTTCTTATTTTGGTCTTTGTGTTTAACAATTTTTTTGCTACCTTTGTTCATTATATCAAAGGTAAGAGTTTATGACATAGGAACAAAAATCATAATTTAGTAAACCACAAAACTAGAAAATATTATAATATAAATGGAGTTTATGGAAATATTCTTATATCAAAATAATCTGAAATAAATGAAAACATGATATATATGGAAAAACAAAACACACACAGACATATAGCATAAACTCATTTGAGAAGTGGTAAGTAATTAAGAAATAAAGAAGTGATCTTAACCCTTTATTTGGTTAAGAGTTTCGACTTTGACTGTGAAGCATCAAATTTGCTGTTTTAACTATGAATCACCGGATAATTCCTCACATGATATGCGGAAGATGAAGGGGTAGTTTCATAATTTTAACAAATATGTGGCAAACCAAGTACATATATGAACTCATGTTAACATATGAATATGTGTAGTTCACATATGAACTAATTAACTGATTCATATATGAATTTATTAACTAGTTTACTTAAAAACTATGGATTCACATATGAATTTATTAACTAGTTCACATAAAAACTATGGATTCACATATGCAATCATTTGTCGTTTATTTGTAAAACTTACTAAACTACCCCTCTATTTTTTGTTTGACCAGTTAAAGATGCAATTTTTAATCAATCTTGACCGTATGAAAGAGGTAGAATCACTCCTTAATTTCTCAAATAAACCTCTTCCTATATATATATATATATATATATATATATATATATATATATA